TGCCGTTTTTATAGGGCGATTATTGAATGCCAAAGAATTTCAGAGACCGTTCGACACTCTTAAACGATATTTTTTTATTTGTGAATTTCTTTTATATTTAAACGCATTCTTTTATCCTACAATAATTTTTAATGCTTATAATTTGTTTCATACGCGTATATGCGATTTGCGAGTATTCTTGTGTTGTATAATTTTAAAATGTATTATTTGTTTCTATCCCTTTTAAAATATTTTTACGATGATTTACAATTATTTGGTTTTGGTCACTTCTCACTCACAAATAAAAAAAGTATAATATTATTCGTCTCTATGTAAAATAACAAAGTTTTTATCATTAAAAATATAATTTTGTTCAAAATAAAATTAAATTTGTTTATAGGTAAAAAAAGATTAGTTATTATTAAAAAAAAAAAAAATTTAACGACTAATTAATTTTCATAATAGTTAATTACATATATTAATTCAAATAAAAAATTTTTAATTTAAAACATTAATTTTTTAATCTATTTCAATTTTATAAATAAAAAAATTATTTTAATAAATAACTTTATTTACAAAATATAGAAATAATATATTTTAACAAATTTTTATTTTTCAATGCATAAAACATATTCTTTGCAGTACATTTTTATTTTTATGAAAAAAATTTAATTATTAATAATTAATAAAAAATAAAAATTTTTTGTAATTAAAAAATAAAATTACAATATTTCATTATTTCACAGATTTAAATGCTAAAAATGAAAAAATTTTCATGTCTATATGTCAATTTTTATAATAAACATTAATTATTTAATATCGGTATTTAATTATTTAAAATACTATACTTGATTTAAAATAAAAAAACTACATTAAATTATGTATATATTCATTCGAATTTAATTTGACCATTTGAATTTGCCGCTCTTCCTAGTAACTTTCTGTCGGTAAGTTTCTGTCGAATACTTTTTGTCAGTAATGATGCATTTCCTCAATCCAGTGGTAACAACTCTCGCAGGTCTCGTGCCTGTCACATTTACCTTTTTAACTTTTAGATAAAATTTCGTCGCTCCTCCTCGTAATCGGCATTATTACACTTCAAAACAATCGGCTTTTTCATTGACAATGTCAAATCGCGTTAATACACATCAATTCAAACAATCCAGGTGAACCGTATTCACGGTAAGAAAAAAGTATACACCGTAACGTCTCTATACCGTCATTACATGCCGAACGGTATAGCCACTAAGCTATGAGTCTATACTTTTTCCTTACTGTCTATACTTTTTTTTTTACTGGGAAGATTGAAGAAATCTTCAACATCATCTGTGGAATAGTAAATCTGAGTGCACCAATTTTAAAAAATGATAAATTTTAGTTTAAAGGATTGGAGATTAAATACTGTAAATGTTTTTAAATACTGTTTATTTTTCTTATAAAGTTAAATACGAAAACCATTTTTTACAAAGATGACATGTATTTAAATTGAGTAAATATTATTACTAAGACAAAAAATACATATTTAATGTTTTTAGTTTCCTTTATGCATTTGAATTTTCATTTTGACAAATGTAATGAAGCATATTACTGAAATAAACTGTCTTCAATGATTTTAATAAATTTTTGGTATAGCTTTCGTCAAAATCGATTGAAAGTAAAAGAAACTTGTCGTCGAATGGAGCGTAAATGATAAAGTCAGTAACTGAAACATTTAATAAGGCCATACCAATTTGCACTTGGGCATAATAAGCATGTTTTTTTTTAAACGTAATTCGTTACCTTCATTTGTCAGCCATTTTATAGATTTAACGACCTTTTCCAATTTTTTTGTTTTTCCTTCATACGGACATTTTATTTCAAGCAATTTCATTAATTTGTCATTTTGAAACACAATGCCATCAGGCGAATATCCTAACCAAGGGTTCTGACGCGATACAATTAAACCACATTGAAAAACATCTAGAGAAGTTGATTTTTTATATGCTTCACGTGCAAGCGATTCACTATCTCTTCCATGTTTAACATAGCAGTTGTTGATTGGTTTCGGATAAAAATAATTTATCGATTTATTTTTTCAATCTGGTTTCGAATTGTTTCGATATGTGAATAAACTGTATGCGTTACTCCCCGTTATTCTAAACTGTCTCTCTTCTAACCAGGTTGAATAAAATTTAGAAGTTTCGATACAAATATCTTGAACATTCTTATTTAATCGGGAAACGAAATCTTCACAACATTGTCGAAGAGGGTTTGTTTGAACATTTCTTAAATCATTTAGAATCTTTGACGAATCTTGATTTTCAAAAATTGCTTGTAACTTATCAAGTTCAATTGTAACATTATTATTATTATTTACTTCCTCTACAGGCTCATGTCTTCCAGACCTATAAAATAACATAAAACAAGAAAAAGGCAATGATAAATTACTTTCATAACGCCCATTTTAAATATGTTGCAGATTATGGAATTTAATTGTTCACAAAACAAAAATAGAAAAGTCTCGTAAATAATTCAATTTTTCATGTAAAAATATAATAAATCAAATAAAACATTTGATTGCCTATCAAAAAGTGTAAAAAATCACGAAAAATATTCAATTGTAAAAATATAAAATTACGTTGGAATTTGATTATGATAAATAATATATAAAATTACATTCTTTTTCCATGATTAAAGCAACTGAAAAAAATTACAAAATGCAAGTAATAGAAAAAATAATAAGCAAATAAATAAATAAATTAGGTCAAATTTCTCATTATAGAGTACGTGAAAAATGCATTAACTATAGTTTAAAAATTCGATAATAGAATGTAAAAACAAAATTATATCTAATTACATGTGATACGCTAAAGCCGAGGTATGAAGATTTGTAATCATTATGTTTCTCAATAAATCTTCATCCAACTGATATTGTGCAGTATTCTCAGTTTCTTCACTTTCAATTTGCTTGGGTGAGAAACATTTATGTTTTCTCAAAGGCTGCGTTTCGTACTTTTGAAGTGTCGATTTATGGGGAGCATTCCAAATGCACTTCTTGTCAGTGCAAGTAACAGTTTTCAATTCCTCTAGGTCATTTCTACAAAAAATGAGAGTGCTTTAATGAATAAAAATAAATTATCAAACAAAAATTTTTAGTTTACTGACAGATTCTTAATTTTTAGGTTATATTTAATAATGTGACTTGATTTTGATTCTTTTAAGGTGATCCAAAAGAATAAAAATAATTAATTATTAAATATGTGTTATGTGTATAATGAACTCCAATTTGTAACTACATTGAGAAAGCAAAATAAGTTCAGAAAAAAAACGTTATTTGACTGCATGTTATCGAATAAAAGAAATATAATTTAAATTCAAGAATTAATTTTTTCAACTAAAATTAATTATAATTAACTTAAATCAGTTCAAATTACTTCAAAAAAACTACTTCACAATACGTTCTTTAATAATATTTGACGATAAATTATCGAAAATTGAAAAGTAAAATAAACAATTCGTATACATAACCTAAAAATGGACTTGTGTCATCATCAACGTTTCTTTCTCATTAACTGAACAAAATACTCAATAATTATAAATAAATGCAAGTCTAATAATCAAAATTCAGAATTAAATGACAAATATTTACAATAATAGTATTTAATAAAGAGAATTCTAATCTGTTGCAATATAGCAGTACTGCTACCACATGTTTGCAGGCACCACTCAAACCGGCTTTGCACGAGCACAACATTGACAATATTTCACCTGCTTTTGTTATTTTACCAGTAATCTCGTGAGGAGAATCTCTTATACTTGAGGTTTGGAGACAAAACGCCAAAATTTTATAATTATAACTGTCATCACTGGTACTTTCATTGTTGAATACTTTTCGGCAATGTAAAACGTGTCCGGCATTGAGAAGGCCTTCTCCACCAATAAAATTTTTACAATTTGGTTGCGTGTTTGCAAATTTGCAAATTTCTTGCATGCAAACCTTCATTTTTTAAATATATTTTTGGAAAAAACAATAAAAACAAACACTTCTGTTACTGTACAAGTGTACATGTAACCTCCTGTCAGTGGTTACGATTTTCGCCGCTAGGCGAAATTAGCCACGCCCCACAAGAGATCCCAATAAAGCATACCATTTCAGACGACATTTAAAAAAAGTACCATTTCAAAAAGTTATTTTTTTTTCTTCGATTTTAAGTTGGTTAGTAGATAATTAGTATTATCAACTTAAAATCATAGCAAAAAATAACTTTTTTGCAACACTAACCTCTAAAGTTAAATTTTACACACCGAAAAGTGTGTGTAAAGAAGCTCTTTTTAAAACGGTGTGAAAAGTGATTCACTTTACGCACCGAAATTTTTCTCACATAATATAAGGATTGTTTTAGAACATACAAAACCACAAAATTAAAGAAAGAACTTTACTTTTAAATTTATACCCTACTGCTTAATGATATTTTTCCTGATCTTCGATTAATTTTTTTAATTGGATACAATCGAAATTATTCTAATAGAGAGTTGGAATTCTTCATAATAGGTACTTAACTTTAGAGGTGGGTGATGCAAAAAAATGTTGTATGATACACGTGCTAAAATCTGATTATACTCGTGTGATTTGCATCACACTCGTATAATCACTCACTTTACGCACTTGTATCACAAATAACTATTTTGAAATGGTACGTTTTATAAATGTCATCCGAAATGGTATGTTTCATACGGCTTTCACGAGTTGGTATGTTTTAAAACGATTTTCTGAAATGGTATGTTTTTCCATTAACTCGACGATTTCTCTTTACATACCGTTGATTTGAGAGGAATTATAGCTGAAAATGAAAAAAATGAGAAAGTACATAAAATAATAATCAATAACATCTTAAATATTGTATCGGCATGCGCTTATTTTGGGATAGGTTTCAGTAAAAGAAGCACAGATATAATTCACAGAAACGGTCGTTTATTAAGAGAGACTATCGATGAATGTTCACACGATCGAAGCTACGGAGCAAGAGTGTGAGGGAGTGCGTGCGCATACGGACATGGCGTAGACTCGTAACCGCTAGAGTCAATAGAGCATATACCGCGAAGGATACAAATCCAACACTCCCTCCCGAGATTGACTCGTCGTATTATAAAATATTATTAAAGTACTTAAAATTATTAAAGTTAACTTGATATAAAAATATAAATCGAACAATACAAAAATACTATAATTAGAAACGAAGTATTTCGTAAAATCACTTTTTCTGGTTAAATACTGATTATTTTCCATCAAAACAGTCTTTGGAATCATCTTTTATGGCACCGTCATTGAGATCAATTAGAATCCAGTCTTCCATTGTCAGTCAAAAAGCTCATGGCTAATCGCTATCTGAAGCAAATATAATACAGAAACATACATATATTATCATAAACCAGTCGTAAAAGAATTTTTTTATTGTCCCTTTTTTTTTGTTTTAAAATACTGTCATATACGATAAAATTTTTATTGAATTAAGAACAGTCGTTATTAAGAATTTTATCTCGTAGATTGGTATGTACAGTAAAGTTCAATAAAGCCTTCCCTTTACATCGACTGTTAGATCGTGTCTCACTCATATGAAACATATGAGTGCGACATGATCTAACAGTCGATGTAAAGGGAAGGCTTCATTGAACTTTACTGTACTTCAAAACTAAGAGGCTTCGTCATTATATCAGCCAATTGTTTCTTAGTCGAAACCCATTCAATATTAACACGATCGTATTTAACGCACTCTTTAACGTAATCTTGATGAACATCTGTCATATGTCTTAGCCTATTTCCACCGTTAGTCTTTGCACAAATTGTTGAAGCTTTGTTATCACATTTTAAAGTCGCGGGAAGAAAACTGTCTTTAAAAATTCTCATTAGAGATTTATTAGATGCAATTATTTCTTGACAAGCTTGACTCATAGCGACAAATTCAGCTTCGCAAGTTGATAACGCAACATAAGTTTGTTTATTTGCTCGCCAAGCAATAGTGTCTCCAAACAGTCGTATCAGAAAACCACATGTCGAAATAGAATCTTTACAGTCCGCAAAACTCGCATCCGAATAAGCTAACAAATCGTCTCGTCTACCTAAAAATTTAAGGCCTAAACTTTTCGTCCCCTTCAGATACTGAAAAACTCTTTTGACCATTTTCCACTCGTTTTCGGTCGGATCAATTTGATGTCTACTCAAGACATTTACAGAGTAGGCTATATCTGGGCGAGTAGCTCCAGATAAGTACAAAAGACTACCAATCGTTTCACGGTACGGAATGTCAAGGGGTTTTTCGCAAATTTCGTAACTGTCATTTTCTTCTCGTTCCCTACGTTCGCGATTAGCAACCTGTCGTGTCGTCATTGGTGTATTTTTGGGGAATTCATTTTCAAAACCAAATTTCGTTAAGATTTTCTCAATGTAATTTTCTTGAGTGACTGTCGTCGTTTTTAAGTTTCTTTGTCTTCGAATGTCCATACCTAGGTAATGTTTAGGTTCGCCTAAATCTGTCATTTCGAAAGAAGTCATTAGTTCGTTTTTGATTTCTAACATTTTCTTACTGTCGTTACTAGCTAATAAAATATCATCAACATAAATTAGTAATATAACTATCGAATTGCCAGAATGCCAAGTGAATAAACAAGGCTCGTAATCGTCGTTAATCAAACCTAATGAAAGTGCAACTTCAGAGAACTTTTTGTTCCACTGTTTTGGACTGACTCGTAAACCATAAATTGCTTTGTGAAGCTTGCAAACTTTGTTCTGTCGTGAATTTTGAGGAATTTCTACACCGTCTGGAATTTCCATGTAAATCTCGTCTTCTAAAATTCCGTTTAAAAAGGCAGATTTAACGTCTAATTGACACGCGTCCAAGTCATAATAGTTAATTATCGCGAGAACTGTTCGTACTAGAGTGAGTCTGGAGACCGGATCATAAGTTTCTTTCAAGTCGTATGAGTTTGTGTCTTTAAATCCTCGAATTACTAATCTAGCTTTAAATTTTATTTTACTGAGACTGTCGTACTTTTGTTTAAAAACCCATCTCGAATCGATAATGTTGGGCTTTTTACCGTCTTTGCCAATTTTCGGTCGATCTACTATTGTCCATACTTGGTTTTTGTTTAATGATTTTAATTCGTCGTCGATCGCTTTTAACCACTCGTTTTTGTCTTTAGATTCTATCGCTTGTTTGAAAGTTGACGGATCGTTATTGATTTCAGAGTGAAAACAAAATAAAATTTCGTCGTCTGTTTTATTTTCTGTTAGTTTAAACTCGTCTTCAATACTCGGAAAAGTATAACTATTTGAAACATTCGTACTTTTGGAAATTTCGGCAAAACTTATATCAGCTATTTTCCGACTACGCGTCTCGTAAGGTTCTCTTGTGACTTTAATCCTTTTGGTTTTTACTGAGATTTCATTCGAATTCTCTCCCTCCGTTTCTAACAGTCTTTTTCGTGGTCTGCCGCGTTTCTTCGTTTGAGCTCCCTCCGTTTCTGACAACGCGTTTTGATTTTGTACATCTTTTTCGTTACTGTCTTCAAATTTAATAAACCAGTCGTTTATGGAGAAAGTCGTTTCTGGAAGAGGCCAATTTTGTATCGAGTCTTTATTATATTTGTCACCGAAAACAAGTTTCTCGTTAAAACGAACATTTCGAGATTCAAAGAATTTTCCGGATTCAGGATTGAGAAAAACGTAACCGGATGTCGTGTACCCTACAAGTATACCTCGTACCGCTCGTGCCGAAAATTTAGAATCTGGTTTTCTCGTAACGGACCAGTAGGCTAAACAACCAAATCGTTTTATTTGATTCAAGTCGAAGTGAAAATTAGGCGCAAATTTATTCAAAGGAGTTTCAAAGTCAATTGATTTGTGTGGAGTTCTATTATAAACATAAACCGCCGTTCCCAATGCCAAATCCCACATGTTTGGTAGAAGTTTCGAATCAAACATGATCGATCGAATTTTCTTTTGGATCGTTTGATTAAATCGTTCAGAGACTCCGTTGTGTTGAGGAGTGTCTGGATTCGCACACTGTCGTTCTATACCTTCACGTAATAAAACTTCGTTTGTATAACCTCCCATAAATTCGGTTCCTTGGTCTGAACGCAAATAGCAAACCTTTTCGTTAGTTCCTAGCAAATTTCGAATACTTTTAATGAATTTTTCTAAACATAGACCCGTCTCATCTTTCGTTTTCATAGGGTAAGATAAAGCCAGTCGCGAAAAATCATCAATAAAAACAACGATATATTGATAACTATGTGAATGTGTGGGCGGAGATATTTTACCCATTACATCGGAGTGAATGATTTGTAACGGTCGTGAAGCTCGATTTCTTTTATTATGAAAGGGTAATTTATTAAGTTTCGTAAGAGCGCATATCTCACAATCGAGAATACTGTCGTCAAAAACTACAGACTGAAGGTCTTTATTATCTTTCCACAATGATTGTAATTTTCTTAAATAACCACATGACGCATGGCCCATTCGTACATGCCAGAGCATGGCTTTGTTCTTTTTCAAAAACTCGTTATATCTATTGTTGTTAAATGGGGTAAATTCGTCTAAAACATCAACTTCGGGCAACTCGTCAACATTAGTTATTTTTCTTTTTATTATGGAGTTGTCAAAATCGGATATTACTTTATTATTAATCGTTTCGGTATTTTCTTGAACTTTATCGTTAAATTCTTTTTCAGAGATTTTATTTAAAACTTCGATTTCATTCGTCACTTCATTTTTAGTCGTATTAATTAAATCATTCGTTTCATTGTTAGTTTTGATATTTTTATCAGTCAATTCATTATGTTGTTTAGTACTTTCGTCAAATACAGTCGTGTCAAAAATAGTTGTCATTGAATTTTCATTTAAACTCTTCCTATCAATTTTAAATTCAAGAAACCAATATGGTTTCTCATATACCCCCGTCGCGAGTAGATTTTTTGAGTCGGAATGAAAAATATTAACGCGCTTATCGTCTAAATGAGTGGAAAAACCTGCTTCTGTCAGTCGTCTAAGTGAAAGCAAATTTTCCGAAACCGAATCGGTATAAATCACGTTCGTTAATTTCAAGGATTTGTTGCAATTAGAGATTAAATTAACATTTCCTTTACCTTCGGCTAACAGATCAGCATTACTGTCTTTATTCGCGCATTTAATAATATTAGAATCGACTTTATTCAGCCTATCAAAAATATTTTTCGAATTCGTAATATGTTCTGTCGCACCTGTGTCTACAATAAATGAAATATATTTGTGACTTTTATTTTCAAATTTATTTGCCTTTGAAAGACTATATAAGTAAACGGGCGAAATCGTTTCTGTTTTTAAGGCGGAAACAGTGCTAGACATTGACAATGATGTATTTTGTGTTGTAATTTTATTTAACATACCTGTATTATTTTTCTTGATTTCCATGAAACCAACCTTTGGCGTTTCACTCGTACCCGTTCGTGGCTGTCTTTGTTGTGATTGTGAATTTGTTTTATTGTCAACTGATCGTTTTTTATTTTTATCATTGTTCTTTTTGTAAGTATATTTATTTTTATCGTAATTAGACCTGAATGATTTAAAATATTTTTTGCCTCGATTTGAATGTGATTTAAACTGTCGTTTTGAATTAGCGTGAGGAAAATTTGATCTATTATTTAAATTATTATTGGAAAACTTACATGCGATTCCTCTGCCTCTGCTTCTAGCCAGTCGTTTTTCACACTCATAAGCTTTATGAGTTGTGAATTTTTGACACTCGTAGCATTTTCGTAAACCTTGACCTTTCAAGGGACATTCGTTCTTCATATGGCCATAATCGTCACACTCGTAACATCGTTCGTTTACCCACTGTCGTTGACCCGAATTTGCGAATTGTACGGAGGCCATAGCAGTCGTTTTTGAACCAGGATGGTTCTTGGTTGCTGCTTGTGCTTGATTTGCTTCCGCCTGTATAATAAATAATTTGAGGGCTTCATATTTTAGACTTTTACCGGTCTGATTTTTAGTCATAAATTCAACGGATTGAACTTCGGGTAGTTGAGTTGAAATTGAACTGAAAAGTGCATCGCGTTTCTCTTCGTCCGATAATACAGTTGAACCCGGGATATTTTCGTAATTTAAGATAATTTCTTCAAAACGTTCTAAAAATTTTGCGGCCGATTCTCGTTTTATATCATATTGAATTGAATAAAGTTGTTTTCGTAAGGTAACACTCGTTAAATTTATTTCACATCGTTTAAACTCTCGTAATTTATTAATAATTTCAATTGGATCTTTAATGTGCAAAACACGTGTATGATAAATTTTATCGACTCGATTTATAAGAATATCCCGAACTTTGAATTTATGTTTTTCTTTTAATTTTTCGTTTAGTCCTTCCGGTGGAGCAACTGTCGTATCTATAATATAAAGCAAATCAATCGTACGTAATTCGGATGTTAAAAACTCGTAAAAATGTTCAAATTTTGTTTGAGAATTTAATTTGTAATCATGTTTAATTCCACTGTCTTTACCAATTAATTCAATTTTAATTGTCTCCTTTAATTGATTCGCGATCGTATTTGAATTATTCGTATTATTAACTGTCGCGGTACTTTGTGTGACTGTCGGATTATTTTTATTAATAAATTGTAAATTCGGACTGGAAAAACTAGAATTTTCATTGGTAACTGTCGTCATTTTGAAATTTTGAGGCATTATTGTATTTTCAATAATTCTAGGTTTTTTACCTTATTTTCCGGTTTACAACGGTCAAGCCATGTTTGCATGGTTTCATGCATTTTCGTTGTCATATTAAGGGTTAAATCCATCATGTGTTCTAGTTGACCCATTCTCGAATCCAAAACATTTATTCGTCTCTCCATTTTGCCGTTGCTTGGATCGGAATTTTCGTCACTATTGAACTGTCGTTTTGTGCTTTGAATAGGGCCAACTGCCCCTTTATCATTATTATTCGTTAAATTTTTATTATCAATACTGTCGTTGTTATTTATTTTACTGTCTTTCTTATTACTGTCCTTTTGAGTACTGTCGTTTTCAGAAGTCACTTCGTTTTTATTTTTTGAATTAATTTCATTGTCAGAACTGTGGTTTTTGTGTAATTTTTTATTAACCAAGTTTTTATTACTGTCATTTGTTAACAAATTGTCAGTACCGTCTTTACTACCGTCTTTACTGTCATCGTTTTGATTTTTGTTGTCGGAAGTCATGTCAGGATGATTTGGACCAATTGGAGGAATGTTATTCTCCATATCGAGATTAACTGGATCAATTTCGTCGTTTCCAGGACCGCTCGTTGTAGTTCCTGGCGACACACCTGCCAGATAAAATTTTAGTTTATAAAACTGTCATTAATTTAAATTTGTTGTCGACAACACCATCGTACTGTCATTACATATCGTTAAACAATTCGTTAAAAATATACAGAAATATAATCGTAAACAGTCGTAAACCATTCGTTTTCAAATAATCACCTGAATTTTGTTCAATGCCATTAATAAAATCATTGATGTCTTTCATGACTTCTTTATCTGTCAACATTTGGTCCGGTCTTGTTAGAGAAGTGTCACTTGGATTTTTGGCCTTCAAATCACTTGGACTAGCATCTCTTATGCATTTGACGTCGCCGTTTGGTGGAGCTAACCTCTCAAGTTCTCGGATTTCTTTCACTAAATTGTCCCAATCGTTTTTCAGTGAATTCTTGCCTTAAAATAAAATTTTGGAATAAATTATCAAAATACACAGTCGTTAATTAAATCGAAAATCTCGAGAAACTAAAAGTCTTTTCTTGAAACATAAAAACAGAACACATGTCAGAATGAATCAGAAAGAATCAGTCAAGTTACGCTTGTTACCAACAAACGCAACATAAACAGATTTAGTTGTTATCAGTCTTCAGGAATGAACACAATTCCCTCAGAAATAAAAACAAACCAGAAGAACGGTTTCATGTGTCTTTTGATTAAAAGAAGTGAGATTTAAAAAATTATAAATTACTAGTCAATTAATTAAAACTATCGTCAATAATTAGATTTAGAAATAAAATTAATTATTTTATTCTTGTACATAAATGCCCTTGTCGTTACTAATATATTCAGTAAAAAAAAAAAAAGAAACTTTCGTTATATAGGCAACTGTCATTAAAAATTTTTCAAAAAAAATTCTCACTCTATAACACTTTTCGTAAAATAAAACTTTTCGTGGAAATACTTGGTCCTTCATTTTAGTAAAATGCATTTTATTTTAACGACGTCGAAAATTAATATAAACTCAAGTATATACTGAGAATTTATATGTTTTATATCAAATGATATTTTGCTGTAAATAATTCATGAAATAGATTAAGTGCACTGATTCTAATCGTTAAATAAAACACTCGTTAAAATAAATTATTTAGATATAAATAATTATTAAAAATTCGTTAAACACTCGTAATTTTATTTAGTTCGAACTTGTTTTTAATTTTGTTTCAGCTGTGAAAAGCACAGACTCTATTTGTAAATAGTAGTCAAGTGTCATCTATCGGTCAATTTATTTACTTATCCATAACAGATAAGGTAGGAAAAGTATTGACCGACTGTCGTTTCTTATAATTGCTGTTTCGTTCACAAATCGTTTAATTATTATATTGCAATATATAAATTATTACACACTCGTTAATATTTCTTTTATTAATTGATTTAAGAGAAAAATCAAGTACTGGTCGTTGTTTAGTAAATCACTCTACTTACTCAAACTGATCGTTTCTCCTTCAGCAAAAGTTGCCTTGAAAAAGGAATCGTCTATCCCTATCCGGACTTCTATAATTTCACTTTCTAATTCCAGGGCCTTTCTGCATCTATCTATCACCTTTTTAATTGTCGCAGTCATTGCAAACGGTCGTTTAAATCCTTTTAACTGTTCGTAAAAACTCGTAGTTCACTCGTTACAATCCTGGGCACTTGATCACAATGGACGCGCGAGGCAAGTCTGTACACGCCGCGAGCACGCCGAACGCGACGATGATTAATTCTCGAAAAAAGTTTCTTTTACTAATCCCAGCGCAGCAGAATTGTTGCCGGGCCCATAACCTATCGGCATGCGCTTATTTTGGGATAGGTTTCAGTAAAAGAAGCACAGATATAATTCACAGAAACGGTCGTTTATTAAGAGAGACTATCGATGAATGTTCACACGATCGAAGCTATGGAGCAAGAGTGTGAGGGAGTGCGTGCGCATACGGTCATGACGTAGACTCGTAACCGCTAGAGTCAATAGAGCATATACCGCGAAGGATACAAATCCAACATATTGTTATACAATGAGTATTTTTTTTAAGTCACTCGGAGAGAAGAGTTACAGTGGTAGCTACAAAACGCGTTTAGAAGGCAAAAATATTGTTAGGATAACTTTACTGGCATTCGCTGTTACTAAACAGCGTTTAGTTCCTTGTAGTTGAATTTACTAAACGGTTCTTTTGCCAACACTACATGTTGAGTAAATGCGACTGCTCAGTCTCCCCACTTCTTACCAGTTTTTATGTTATGAAAATGGCGGACACTTATATTGTTAGCGACAGTTTGACACAAGTGAGTTGATTTTATTTAAAAGATAACTCATGAATAAAGAAGATTTATTGTAGGTAACACCTACAAGACGGCTGTTTAGTAAATCCCACTGTTAAATTAGTTCGTCGAAAATCTACTAAACAGTATAGTCACCAGAAAAGGTTCCACAGTCGCCATCACTGTCAATTTCTCTCCGTGCAGTTCTTAAATCATGAATGTATAGCAGGAACTTTTCTAACAGTATGTTAGCTAAAATATCCCTACTTGTTACTCTCATCAACAATTTATTAAAGTATTAAAGGAAAGTAACAGCTTTAACTTTTGGGTGGCGATGAGATTATGCATTTGTAAGATTTTGTCTGGATATCCATTTAATTTTTCAAGATATTTTATGGATATGCAAATCGTTGAAATGATTATTCTGGTTATCCCTAAGATATCCTGAATATTCGGGTGTTATTAATGCAAAATGAAAATGACAACTGAACAATACTGTACTTTAGAATCTTAAAGAACATGAGATTATACAATTTTTCATGTCATTTGCAATAAATTTCACTATAATAATAGAAAACAATCGTTCTCCACTGCCCTTCTCTTGACTTGCGGCTCTATTCAGAGTCTTGGAACAACGGCGGCAGCGGCTTCGCGCGCCAACCCCCACCCCCCTCATCTCTTCCCCTCCCCCACTCTAAATTTAAAGGTTAAGATCGTTTCAAGACTCTGAATATAGCCGCAAGTCCCCCCCTCCCTTCTCTTCTACTCCCCTTCTCATGACTTGCGGCTATATTCAGAGTCTTGGAACAGCGGCGGCGATATCTTTTTGTAATATAGGTAGATATACATATATATATATATATATTGTTTATTTAAAAGTGTAGTGATTTTCTGAGTGAAATAACTGCCTCGAAATTTTGATTTGATATAAATCTCACTTGCCGTTATTCTTATTGGGCATAGTTTAAAATATTTCTCATTTAATATAAAACTTACTTGCAATAAAGCAAGCAATATTTTATTGAATAAACTCATTTATGCCAAATGAGTTTTATGACATTGTAACACTGGTCTACAAAATAAGACTTTTTTTTAGTTGTCGGAGTGGTTCTCGATGTATTTTTGTGTGCTGAACACTATACGGGGTTCCAAAGTTGCGTATCACGTCAGGATTTTGAGTAAAGAGGGGGTAAAGTCTCCGAAAACAGTGTTTTTGAGGGTTTTCATTTTTTTTTCTCCTTAACCCGACGTGCTAGACACTTCTATATACACGGGAAAAAATTTTGCGCAAGAGCTGTACTGCCTACTGCGCAGCTGCAGCTCTGTACTTTGTGGGTTTCCGCGAGCTAGTTTAAGGCCTTTCTCCAATAGGAACCTAAACTTTTGCGTTGCGTGACTGACGCGTTGATTTTAGCATTGGTTGCCAATAGCAACCGACGCAATGCATACGCAACGCAAGAGTTTAGGATCCTATTGGAGAAAGGCCTTTATGGATAGGAGCTGACCATGATTTGACAGAAGCTAACCACAGCGGGCATGGACTGTGCAGTCCTGGACAGCGCGTGCACTAATCATGGATAGCACGTGTCCACAGATACGCAGGCAGCAGCTACTTTCACTTTTGTACAAAGCGTGACCACTAGTGGGCAGCTCATGCGCAAAATTTTTTCCCGTGTAGGTTTAAGGGGGAAAACTCGTGTAAATGTACGTTTTTTCAGAATTTTTTTTAAACTGGTAAAGTTTATTAAATTAAAGTAAAGCATACCTTAAAGTACACAATATAAGCTTTATAAAAAAAATTTTTTTATTAAAAAATATTACAAAATGGCAACGTTACAGGCGTTTAAAGTTGCATTTTTGATTTTGAGCCGTGCAGCCTACAGGTCACAAATCTCAACTAAAATTAAAAATCGAAATTTTTACCGTTAAAATTGGTATCCGAAATACTGCGATACGCCATCTGGTGAGAGCCTTGTTGTGGTGGCCATGTTTTCATTCCGTGTTTCTCTAACATATACAAAAGAAAGAGATAAAAAACCAAGATGGTTGTCACAAGAAGGCTCAGGGGTGGGTCAGTTTCGCGTGATTTCTGATCCCAATATGCAAATACTCTTTGCATGACGGAGAGAAAACTAAAAATTTTTTTTTTTTAATTTGGGACCATTTTTAAAAAAAATCACTTTTTTTATAAACAATGTTCAAAAACAATTGTTAAAAAAAAATTTCTTTTAAATGAGCTCGTCATGCAATAGCCAGTAAGATAAAGAAGATTTGTGGTAAGTTTGATTTAAATCGGTTAAAAATTGTCTGAGTTACATTGCACGGCGCGCGAAAAGACACGTATAAAAAAACACGTATAAAGTTTTCGATACATAAAAGTAGTGTTTTAACTATTGCCTTGAAGACGTTATGTATTCGAAAATAACTATTACACTAAAACCAAGATTTATTGTATGGTACTTGCTAATGACAATTAATAAAATTATAATATTGACAATAAACCGACAGAATTTAGAGGGATCTCGTGCTCATAGTTAACTGCATTTCGATGCATCTGAAATGCTAAACATTCATACATCTAATTATAGTTTAGTAATGTAATATCATATTCTGCAGATAGTAAACTAATTTTTAAAGCAAAAAAAAAATTTGTTTTACACGAGTCTGACCCCTTAAATGAAAGCTTATATCTTACACTTTAAGACCCATATACGCAAGACAAAAAAATTTTTGAAAAAAATTGGAGTAAATACCCCTAAAAATGTATGTTTAAATATTTATATAATTAACATTTTTTGCTTTTTTCGACCATTTTTAATCATTTCTTACTATTTTTCAATATTTAAACATTCTTGTCCCATTTTTTAACTATAGGTATATTTTTGTAGGAAAAAAACTCAGCTATCGATTGAAAAGAAAAAAAATCGTATCTTTTACTCCGAAAATGTCAAATTTATTGTTGAGTTTCATTATTTTTGGACCAAAATTTTTTTTTTCAAAAATGCATATTACCAATTGAAAGAGCATCCAAAAAAGCTTTCGAAACTAATTATGAAAAAAAAATCTTATTTTGATATTTAAGGAAAAAAAATTATTAAAACATGTGGTGTACCGTAAAATCACAAAAATTTTACCCCCTCCTCCTCGAAAAATATTATACTAAATAAAAAAATATTTTTACCGAAGATTAACGTCTATGAGTACTTACTACAAATGCCCCAAATTTCAGCGTGATCGGAGAAAAATTTTTTGAACCTTGATCACTTCACGTGTGATCCCCTATAATTTTTTTTACTCCTACAATTATAAATTTTAATCTGCCTGAAAGTTAACAATTATCTAAATAGTGTATCAAAATTTTTTTACTCAATTTGGAGGCTACTTTAATTTCTTTTTGCTATTGTCCATCTACTGATTCCAAGTTTTTGCTTTGTCCAAGTACGCTGGTGCTTTTCCTCAATCTAGAATTGTAAATCTTTTTTCTTTTGAATTAGTAAAATTAAACTTAAAAAAAATTGTTTACTATCGAATCAGTAAAATTGAACTAATTCAAAAGCAATAAGTGAGTCATTAATTCAAATTAATTAAAATTTTTCTAATTCAAATGTAGAGAGTATTCCTTGTAATTATTTTAAAACAATAAAAGTCGAATTAAAAATTATAATTATAAATTATATTTAATAAAGTTGGTAAAGAATTATTTATTTTAAAAATTTTTATGACTTTCTGAAGGAAAATTTGTTACATATAGAAAAATAAAATGAAAAGAATCACAAACATTATCATTTACATAAAAGAAAATCAATACTATAGCTAAAAATTAGTAATATATACCGGTCCTTAGAATATTTATCACCTCATTTGTCGGGGCCTGGGGAGCCGAATACTTTAGCACAGACAAATATTTTTACTCTGGACACCTGGAACCTCGCTTGTCTGCCTCTGGTCTTCCGTTTTCCATAGAATGAGCCCAAACGGGCCCAGGGTGAAACCGTGGTTTCTGGCAAGCCTGTTAGAAAGATGGGTTTAAAGAACTGATGGTAAAAGGGTCCTGCGTTGTGCCACGACGCGTAGAGCCGGTTAGTCGCTTTCAATGCTCCGCGTTGTACTGTTCATAGTATAGTGTCCGATACATTTTGTGTGCGTTTTGTAGACATTCGAAATAATATAACGCGCAGAAAAAATTGTTTTTGCATTAAATTTATTAAATCATTTGTGATATCTTAAATGTTCCATTTGCTTCTTAAAAGTTTTAAATTGTTTATGAGTTAAAGCGCATGTGCATTGCTCAAGCGCAGAGGCTTCGAAATTTTTGATTGGATTTATCACATCGCTTTGCGATATTGGATTATAAACTTTAAAGATTTCTATCGCTTCTATTCATATTTTAAAAACAAGTATTAAATGGTGTAAAAATATTAATAAAAATCGGTTGTTTTTGTGTACAATAGTCAACAGTGTGTGCATCATCTATAGTATGAATACGGATTTAATGTCAGATGTGAATTTTAACTGTAAGTTTTAAACTAGTAAATTATATATATATATATATATATATATATATTAATTAAAACTCAATATCACATTTGCTTTTATAAATATTCACTCGTTTTCTATGCATATTTAAAATCAGATAAATTAATTGTTTTATTTCGAAATTTTTAATATTTCTTCGATGCTACTTTTCAAGCAAAATACAGTAAAGTTTTTCGGTTATAATTTTAATTAATTTAATGGCCGTTTATTATATATCTAATATAAATTACATATATTACATTAATACATATCTATTAAATACTTAAGTTAAGTTCGTTAAATAATGATGTAATTAAGGAAATATTAAGATAATATTGGAATATTACTTAACATTGACATAAAATATTTAATATTAATACTTTCTAAGCGCTACAGATAAATATATTGAGAATTGCAGATTGCTAATGATTACAGATCAACTGCAAACAATTGACAAACATGATTTCTTTTATTATTAGACCATAAAGAAACAATTAATTAGTAATTAAATTACAATATCTTTGACAAAAAAATGTCACTGCAAGAATAATAGAATATCGACAAAATTAGAATGAACAATATTTAATTTTTTGTGATATAATTTTTTAATTATTAATATTAACACTAACTAAAAAATTTGTTTTTACAAAAAGTTTTGGTGATTGTTTTAATATAAAACAACATTTTAAACAAATAACTATATAAAAAATATTTTGTTACGATGCAGTTCTCGTGGAAATTTATCTTTGAAATTATAAAGGAACTAGACAGTTATGTTAGATTTCTTCAAAGAACTAAATGTAATGTTAAAATATATCAGGATATTGTAAAGAAAAGCCATGCTAATTTTATCGACTTATTATTATCTATCTCAAACTTTATAATACCATATTTTTATTTTTGATAATAAACAGTCCTTTAAATAAAAAAAAAACCGTACCACAATCTGTACATATTAAAAATATACTAAAAATTATCATAATGTACTGAAAGCTTTCAATTTAGAAGTTCACAAATTTGATGAAATTAACATTAAATTTACAAGTTAACATTGTCAAAAATTTTGTTACTATTTTTTTAATTTGTATTTATAGTGGACCAAAAAGAGTCTGAATTTTTTTTATCTCACTCTTTGGGATGTATATATATGGAAAAAATATATCCTTGTTGTTTTAAGCCAAGATTAAACCTTGCCTCAAAGCCCTTCATTAATTTGTATTGTGAAGGAGTGAAATATATATAATTGAAATGAAAAAATAATATTTTTTAAACCTCACTACTCTGTTTTTCTTGAAAAATATACTTCAATTGTTTTTAACTAATTTTTTACTTTTTTCAGAGTTTTAAAAAACACCAATATAAATAAAAAAAAGGCTATTTATTTTATCTCAATTTTTTTCAAACATTTTTGCTAATGATTTTATAAACAACTGGGATGTCATCATTTGAAAATTTGGAAATAGAGACAGAGTAGGTAGGATGAAAAAATATGAACTTACTTATATTTTATAAAAAATTTACTAGAATCGGTTTTCTCCCAGTTAAGGGGAGATTCCCATTGCGGAGGCCAAAATCATCATAAACTTTGACAATTTTTTGTGGGGAACGGTTATGACTTAGGCTGCAGTCCCATGGCAGCGTTTTGCGTTGCGTTTTGTCACTAGACCCTGAGTGTAAACATAGCAAACATATATCTGCATCTCTTTTACACTCATGGTCTAGTGACAAAACGCAACGCAAAACGCTGCCATGGGACTGCAGCCTTAGTGATGTAGTTTTTTTAAAAATAAAGGTACATCCCTGAACTTTTAAAACATATGTGACGCTCCACGGTGAAAGGGTGCGCTTAGCTGTTTTTGACAGAACTAAACCTTGCATTAAAAATGAATAAAAGCGACTAGTTTTCGATACAAACTATTATTATTTAATTATTATTATTAGATGCACTATTTTCAGTAAAAAATGCTCTTGATGTTAAATAATCAAAAATAAATCTTTAATAAAGCAAAAACTACCATGAACATATCCTAAAATTTTAAGCATTTCACTGTGGAGTGTCAGATATATTATTTTAATTTTCAAAAAATTTCAAAATGGCGACCAATATAGCGCACCTAGTAAACCATGGAGAATAGGCTACAGGAGACCAATGTAGTGTTTAAGAAAACGGCTAATTTTCGTCGGAAGCTGTTAGTTCCAAAACTTCTCGCGCGCCGCGTTGAAAACAGATAGATACCATAAGTTTTAAAATTCACATGTGCTTCTTGGTTAACAGCATACATCGTGATATATGGTTTTCCGGCAGAAGCAAATTTCTTCTGTGAAATATATAAAATAAATTTATAAATAAATAATGTATGAGGTAAGTTTAAAATTTAAAGTTGTGTCAAAAATCTTTTTTTTTAAACTAAATTTATTATGAAAAAACTTTTTAACTATAGATGTATTTAAAATTATATTCAAACTTTACATTTCCAAATAAAAATTAATTTTATTAATACAAATAAATTTTTTTTATTTTGTAAATACTTTGGTATATATTTTGGGAAATGATAAATACCTGTTATATGTATATTTATTAACATTTCATAACCTTTTTTTAAAAAATAAGCTTGCTAAATACACACATTGATTAAATTATTTAATATGTTGTATAACATAAATAATAATATGGCGAAATATATTTTTTACAAAGAAACATAAGTATACACCTTCACGTAAGTCAAATATCAATTACTTTAAAGTTGAACGAAATATGTAAATTTGCCTAATGTTAAAAAAAATTACAAAGTTATAGAAAAAATCAACATTTTTCAATCATATAAAAAAATTTACTTGTTTCAATAGATTGTAAAGAAAAAAAATTTTCCGTTTAAAAATATTAAAATATTTATTAATTAATAAATTCATTTATGCTTCAATAACTCTGACAATCTTAGTCAATTTTTATTAATGATTTCTCAATGGGTACATCTTTTCACTATTTCATATATTTATAAAATATCAACAAATAAATAATTATTATTAACTTATTTATAAAAAATAATTGCTTTCTCTTACCAATATTAGACTATTTTTATTATCCAGCATAAAAATATACCTAAATTCAGGTTATGTTTTTCATAACAATATGACAGCTAACAGATCAAAACAAATATTTCTTGACATGCGTACGTTGATGGTATCTATCTGTTTTTTTCGCCACCTATGGGAAAGCTGAGTAGGGGAGGATGGGGTAAGGATAGTTAGGTAAGACATTTTTAGATCTAGCAGCTAAAATTCAATAGGCATCAGAAAAAGAATAGTATCGTTCGAAAGCCTGTTTATTTAGCTACAATTTTGTAATGCATTATTTTGCTGTGGATTGCAATGCCTTCGAGATATTAGCGGAAAATTAAAAAAAAAATTTAACTTATCAAAATTCTTTTTACGAAAAATAATCACAAAAAGAGATTAAATTTGGGGTTTTTTTAATTTCATTGGATAAAAGCACCTCAAAACACTTCAAAGCACTACCAAAAAAATTTTTTGGACATAAATAAATATTTAAAACAGTTAATATCTGAAACAGTGTTTTAAACAGAACTGAGACATTTTAGAAAAAACAGGATTTTCACAAATAAACACGTAGCTTCCACAAATGATATCGCATCCAAATCAAATTTTTCTTGACGTCTTTCGGTGTTAAAACAAGTATATATATAATGAATGGTGCCCTTTTTGAACAAGCCGTGTAGGCAATAGAGCTACTAACTATCCTTTGCCCCATCCTCCCCTACTTGTCTTAGCTTACGACGAATCTTGGCACCATTTTAGTGAAGTAAATGCATGAAAGATTGGTCTCCTGTAGTCTATTCTCCATGTAGTAAACAATGTTTTTTTTAAATAGGAAAATCGGTGGGCATTCTACACTGTGCAATTTTGAGTCTAAAACAAAAACTCCACAATTGTTTGAAAGGAGACATCTCTGTAAAAAAAGAAGTATTACCAGTATGGCGCGACTCCGTATTACAAGTAATGAGGTTGAAATACGCAAAACGAGAATTGACGTATTTGAAGGAATGGGGAATGAGGAATTCGGCAGTTGAAATACGTGACATTTTTAATTAGTGAATAAAAATGAAAAAACGCGTGAATGATCATTAATAGTTATATGTAGTGAGAGAAGCAAGTTAGCAGAATGTAAAAATACCTGTGTTTAGTGAAAATAATGATGTTTAAAGGAATAATTAAAAGTGAAATATGAGTGTAAATACGTGAAGTGACGTGTTCTAATACGTGACGTGGAAAAGCGTAGATGATCGTACTTCTTTACCGACATCGGGTATACTATGCTTTGTTGGTAATAGACTGCATCACTGTAAACGATGATAATGTTTCAAGAAATTAAATTTATTACTTTAATGAATTAATTTTATAATTAAAATTAACATGTTTAAATAATTTTATACAAAAAGCTATTTAAAATTTATTAAAAGCCAATTAATATTCAATAGGTAGATAAAAATAATAAATTTTATTATATCCCGTGTGGAAAAAGCCGCGATCTTGCCCCCAAGACTTCGGGGCCCCCGGCGGGGGCGCATGAGGGCTGATCCATAAGGCGAATCCATGAGAGCCAACGTAGGAGCCCCGCATGGATCGCCCACATGATAGAATAGCAAAATTTTCTAGGTCCAAAAGTCAAATATTTTTTTGTTACCAAAAAATTAATGTTTACAATGGTTCAGAACAACGAATAACGCATTCTTAACAAAAATATATTTACACTTTTTTTGAAAATCCACCTGGGATGATTAATGATAATAATCATAAAGCATATATAATTAATTATATTTTATAAATTGCATTTCATTGGAAAATATAATTTAATATCTTAACTTTAACTATATGATGTTAAGCACTAGCTTTTCTGAGTTAGGTATTTTGCATGTTTAAATAGCATCAAGAAGTTAGCATTCGTTTTCACGTAGCGTGCGTAGCGTAGTTGGTAAAGCGT